GTCGATCGGGGGGGAAGGCTAGGGTAGCGCCCTCCATTGCAGTTGAGTCTGCCCCAACTGAAAAATTCTCACGCTGGCGGAAGAACAAAGAAACCCTATACTGAAGAGGTAACTAAGCCACTAACGGACCTTCACAATTCCAAGGCCAAACATAAACAAAAATTCACATAAGGCCTACTACAAAGGGGGGCCACGTATATTTTTCTCCCAAGGAGTGTAAAAAGCCAACTTTATTGTTAAAGATCATTATCACATTATAGTATTACATAACAATTTATTTTTCATGAATTTTTATGTAATTTCCCCCCCCCCAAGGAGTGTAATACACGGATCTTACCTAGTATCATATATATGGAAGTCTATCATCGAATTAGAAATATATAAATCACTCACTTTCTAATTTATGTGATAGTATATAGGAATATTCCGTGTTTATTTGAAAAAAAAAAAGATTGTATTAAGATGATTTCGTTTTAGTTAATGTGATAGCTGAAATATAGGCGTTGTTATGGAAGGTGAGTGATTTTTGTGTTATTGTGTGGAGCAAATGTTGATTGTATACATCGAGAATCTCTGACCAGTATCACATTCCAAATATAAAATGTAAACGACTTCCATTAAAGAAATTTATAATTCATTCATATTAAATATTTTTTAATTGAGGAGCTAATTAATGATAACTAAGTAGATTATACACCATATGATGCATCCGGTTTGCTTTGGAATTACAATACACAAAATCGAGATAATTTGATAATTAGTCTAATATATGTACCCATTTTCAAGGTTTGGGTTAGATTTAATATTAGACATTAACTTGTATTTAAATTTAAATCTTTTCCCTGGATAATAGTTGGTATANGGAGCTAATTAATGATAACTAAGTAGATTATACACCATATGATGCATCCGGTTTGCTTTGGAATTACAATACACAAAATCGAGATAATTTGATAATTAGTCTAATATATGTACCCATTTTCAAGGTTTGGGTTAGATTTAATATTAGACATTAACTTGTATTTAAATTTAAATCTTTTCCCTGGATAATAGTTGGTATAATTCTTTTTTTTTTTGGCATAATTATTGGATTATGTATCTTCTATATTAAAAGAGAAGTACCATTTATATCTACTACAAAAAGTCATATTGGACTATTTCATTAATATAACATATTTGATTATTTATATTAATCAACCAAATATATATTACTGAAGAAATATTTTAATAATATATAACTATAAAGTTATCTTTAACTTCATTTATAACAAAATCTGTTGAGAAAATATCTAACAAGATCTTACCAAGAAAGTTAAATATTTTTATAAAATATATATTATTTAATTTCGTGATTAATATATATATATATATATATATATATATATGAATGTTAATTAAAAATAAAAATTGGTATAATTTATAATTTAATGATTTTCTATATTATATTAAAATAAAATGCTATGTGAAATTAATATAAAAATATATTAAATTGGTAAAGAAAAATATTTTATTTTAAAATTTTCTTTTATTCACTGTTAAAACATATTAATTTTTTTAAAACATGTAATATTTTTATACAAAAAAGTTGACATATATTTTTGTAATTCATAACAAATACATTATATAAAAAAATATATTTGATATTTTTAAAAAATGACAACAATATATTATATAAAATAATTAAAATAATAAGATTCTATAGTTATAAAATATAAAAATAAAATGTAAATGATATATCTGAAAGATTTTGTTATATTTTTATAAAATGAAAAATTACCCGCACGGATGTGCGGGTTCAAAATCTAGTACATGTTATTTTAGTAGCAGATAGAGGACAAAAGTGCATGATTGGTTAATGGTGATTTTAATATTTAATATTGTAGTAGAAGATATATTATTTTTTATGTTTTTTATTTTTACAATTTTTTATTTTATTTTAAATGAATCTCAATGATTTTTGTTTTTGCGGCAGTAAGGCGAACCGAGATCAATACGATTTTTGATTGGTTATGTCAAATGTTGATTTCATTGGATAGATTTAAATTTAAAGAGGTCGGTTATAAAAGGTGTTAAATGACCATAAGACCAGTGGCATGAGATGATAAATATTAAGAAATATTTAGGGTTAATCACTACCAAAAAGAGTTTAACATCAATTTTTTTTTTTTACATTAGTTATAAATGATATAAGAATATCTTTTTATATAAATGAAAGTGGTGATGCAAAAAGTTTACATCATTTATTAATAAATGATGATGTAAGAGGACTAAATATTTACATCAGTTATCGTAAATGATGTCATTATGTATTAACAGGAAAAATAACATAACAACTACATCAGTTTTTTAAATAATTTTAATATTGACATGTATTAATTATTAACAATTGAAGTTAAATTAATATTAAATTTAAATTTTCTTACTTATATACTTTATAATTATTAATTTAGAACACTATTATCATTTTTACATTAAATAGATCTTATCAGTATATAAAATATGTAAAATATTTTCATTCTTATTTTTTACTTTATAGAAGAGAAAATCTTATAAAAATTATATGTAGAAAAAGAAAGACGAAGATAGGTTAAAAAATGGATTGTAAGTAGTTAAACAAAATTTGTCATGTGATCCTTCTTCTTCATTTCTTCTTTTTTTTTTTTGGTAGGATTCTTCTTCATTTCTTCTTGTTCATTGCAGAATCCTCATCAATCAATATTTTTTTAAAAAATATATTCTTAATCCTTTTTTAAAATTAACGCTGTCTCCTTCTATATTTATAGAAAATCACTGATCCTAGCAATAAAGGATACTTAAACCATAAATATATTTATTTTATAAACTTGGAATCTTCTAAAAATGGGAACCAAGAGAAGGTAGAAAAAAAAAATCTCTTGGCGCTTTTGATAAAAAAAAAAATATGATATGTTTTAAATTGATAAAGAAAGTTTTCCACAATAGATAAACTCTTACTCCAGATGAAACAAGAAGGACTCTGTTTTAAAGAATCGGTTTTTATCTCCATCATGAGAGATTACGGCAGATCTAATCTCCCTGGACAGACAACGAGGTTGTTGCTAGAGATGAGGAACATGTTCTCCTGCGGACATTTTGGTTCAGTAATCTATTTTTTCTTAACTTCAAATGGAATAAAATTAGAGTAAAAGTCAACTTCATCATGAAGTATTCCATCTAAGAAGAAAAATAGAATTTTACACTGATGATGCTCTTGAAATTTTTTACTTTATTAAAATAAGAATAATCTATATATATATATATGTTAATTACTAGCTTAATTATCATATGATATAAATCTCTACTATTAAAAGAGAAGTAAATGTACCTTAGCTTTGTAATTTATTTACACGAGAATGCCACTGATATATTAATTGAATCTATATTTAAGTATATTTTTCCTTTTGTAGTTTAATTAATGAAAATAAAATAATTAGTAACCTATCTTTTAGGATTCTTTGTTCTTTTTTTTATTTAATCAATGCATTTTCGTAAATCTAATTTTAACTAAAAAATCATGGCAAAAATTACTTAAGAAAATCAATTTGTCACTGCTATCATATGGATATTACGTATTGCCTACTTTCAAATATTTAGTCTACTATCACTGATGCACATAATTGTAACCTAGAGATTTCTTTTGATATAAACTACAACAATTTTTTTTTTATAAAATTCAAACCAATTACAAAATTAATGTATTCATACGTATATATTAATTTAGTTATTTTGTACCTCAATTATTTTTGTAGTCTTTCTATAAAATATATATATATATATATAATCTAAATGAGAATATCTTTCTTAATCTCTTCATACGAAAAATCAATAAGGAATCACGGGTCAAAAAAAAAGAATACTTGATACAGAATATATTTTTGTGTTTAAAGATGTCATATTAAAAAATACTAATACATATATATTTTAAAATTATATATTACTATACCTAAAAAATAAATATTTATTTATAAAACATAAACATAACCATCCGCGCAGGTGCGCGGATCAAATTCTAGTTAGGATTAAAACATCCTTTCTATTAAAGTGTTGTAAAGGAAAAATATACCTAAAATAATAAATGAATCAATTGTTGAGCTGATATTAATCTATATAACAATATAAATTTTGTTAAAATATGGCAAACTCATATAAATTATATCATTTTATTGCATTGATGTTACATTAATTAAAAACATCTTCATTGATTTAAATTTATATATATTCGTATGTTGTTGCTAAATAAATAATTCAAAATAATATCACTTACTTTTGTGATACAATTCACTGATTTTATTTTAGTGAATATTTTATACTTTTGCATATAGATATTTCTTAATGACTTCTCAAAGAAATGAAAATTTTATCATCAAATATACTTTTCATTAATAAAATAGAATATTTTAGTACGTTTCTTTCATTTAAAAGTTCGGAAATGTTTATATCTATCAAAATAATCAGACGTTTTTAAGATATATAACCTTATAATGGTGAGCAAACAAACTGTAATATTCTTGATTAGTATAGGATTAAAACCGTACGTTAGTCAATAGTGCATTAGTTTTATTGATACAAGTTATATAAAATGGATGATATTATTATACGTTTAATTCATAAAAAAAAAGTCATGACTGTATGATGTGTGAGACACGTAAAAATGTCTCGATGTACAATAAAAAAAAATACCAAAAATCCAAAAAAAAAAAAGCATTAAAAAAAGTTAAACCACATCATTAGTTTTTTTATTTTTATTGAGAAGATCAGACATACGTTCCATAGATGAGCCTTTCAAATATTCCTTGAGCTAGGGTTGCTCGGACGGGTCATGCCAGCTGGGCTACTAGGATTGCTCGGGTGGGTCCTGCCTGCCGGGCTGCTAGGGTTGTTGGTGGTGGGACTCATCCCAAGAGTGTTCTTCACAGCGTCGGCTGCTCCTTGTGCCATGNTTTTATTGAGAAGATCAGACATACGTTCCATAGATGAGCCTTTCAAATATTCCTTGAGCTAGGGTTGCTCGGACGGGTCATGCCAGCTGGGCTACTAGGATTGCTCGGGTGGGTCCTGCCTGCCGGGCTGCTAGGGTTGTTGGTGGTGGGACTCATCCCAAGAGTGTTCTTCACAGCGTCGGCTGCTCCTTGTGCCATGTTCTTCACTTGTCCTCCTGTCTACTCTCCAAAATTAACAATAAATATGCCAGTCGACATAAACCATGTCAATATCGTTCATTATTCATAACGAAAAAGAAAAAGAATATACCTGTTGAATGACATTAGAGGCCTGGGAAATTAGGGAAGGATTGTTCTGATCATGTTCTGCGTGTGGCTGTGAGTGAGTGTGATGATCAGAATTTTCATTCATTGCGTGTGATACCTTGTTTAAGTACTCCTCCTTCTTCAGCTGTAACAAAAAAAATGCATATTTCCTTAAAATCTTATTTAGAAAATTGACTGATGCTTAAACGTTTAAGAAACAAAAATAAAAATATAAAGTGCACTTCCGTCCTGGTCTAAATCATATGCAAATGAAACTATAGTCTTCAGGTTTTAAATATATTTGGTCAACATTGGAAGTAAATATTAAAAAGCTTTATATATTAAATACATATGAAAATGCATAATACGATATCAAAAGGCCCATGTGTCATGATATCTTATTATTGATTTTCATTTTATATATGTTAGATTTTGTGTGTATATACAATATTCTTCGAAAATGTATGTTTATGTATGTACCTGAACTTGACCGGTGGCTTCTCCAGCCTTGTGGCTTAATTCTTGACTCGACGACATCTTCTTTTTGGATATGTGAATGTCTTTAGCTAAGATTTTAAATATTAGAATAATTTAATGGATTGATATGCATTAGCGTTGTATTTATACAATTTGAAAGTTCTATTATAGTAATATCCTTGATTTAAGCATTCTACTGACACGTAAAAAGCAATTTGACAATTGATATGGCTAAATTTTGTGGAGAAGATTACTTTCCGGGTGTATTACCCTAACGTTGCTTGGTCAAGGAGTGAAGGAGGACGTCTAGCTTTTATTTTATAATATATGTAATCCATAATACTTAATTAGATGTAAGGTACACATTTAAATTTTAGACCATATACAATGGTTTGAACACTCATTTCATTTTCAATAACCTATTTTTCTCTTTTTTTACATTCCACATCATATTCTCTCTCATCCATCTAATTTATTCAACACCTACTTCATTTTTAACATCTACAATAGTTTGTTTAAGAAAATCCAACTCCCTATCCAATAATTATTAATTCATAATTTTATAATATAATAATTATATATTAATAATATTGTTTGATTTCAATTATCTTAAAAACTAAAATAACATAACTATTAATAAGAAGAATTTTGACTGTTGAAAATATTATTACCATGATCTATTTGACAAAAAATATTTAAAACACTAAAATAGTTGATTATAATAAAAATGGAGTATTCTTTTCAATTTCCAAATTAAATGAGAGTAGTCTCTATTTACAGATATTAAAAATTATGAATTTTGATATACTTTTTCTGTTTTTAAAATATTTATTATATAATAAAATGAGTTCAAATTATTGGGTGGGGATAAAACAAATATGCATAATATTTCTATTCAATCAATTTGCGCCATCTGGCTAAACTGGACAACATAAAAAATTTATCAACGGGTTGAAACTTTACAACACTCTAAAAGCCACCTAGATATACTACAAAGTTTTAACAATCTCACTGTAGCATATCAACCGTTGAAACTTGATTTCAACACCTTCATTGTAGGTCGTCTTATGGGTTTCGTACGGAAAAGGACTAATATACTTCTTCTTTGTGTCTTGAATCTTACTTTTATGGAAAAATATTTGTTAGCTACATGAAAAATATACCACCACATGGTTTGAAGTAGATTTATTCAAACAACGTTACTAGACATAAATAGGAAAATGACTACCAGCTACACGATCATCACATGGATATACATCTAGACAAAAGAAATGTATTGAGGACTATGCAAGCGATATGATGCACATTGTAACATTCTTGAACTATTATGAGTTATAATTTTAGAGAAAATTACTAGAATGATACACAAAAGCTTGTATATGACTAGAACAGTATACATTTTCTAAAAATTACTAGAATGTTTTTAGACTCCTAGTAAATTACAATAAACACCCTTGTTTAATTTTGTTACAATTGATACAAATTTTAATTATTAAATCCACATCATAATTTTGACAATCCACGTCACTAACTAATTTGTGTCATCAACAGTTACACTAGAAAATCAACAGTCCCATATCTCCGGTGAACAAAAAAAAAGTCTTAATGTCACATTCTTCTCCGTCACAACTTTCGTTAAACCCTAACCGATTACGAAATCACGAAATCATCTTCGTCGACGTCGTTAAACCCTAACCGTCTCTGATATCATCTTCGTCGACATCCTTTTCTCCGCAAAAGTTTCGACGTAATCGTATCTACGACATCATCTTCTCATCTTCTCTGGAATGTTGTGCCTGAGTTTGATTTACGACATGTCTGAGTTATAGATTATGTTGTTACTGAGTTATTGTATAGTGTGGCTGAGTTGAGTTTGATTTATGAAGTGGCTGAGTTATTGATTATGATCCGACTGAGTTATTTATTATGTTTTGGCTGAGTTATTGATTACTGTGGCTGAGTTATATATTATGTTGTGGCTGAGTTATTTATTATTTATGATTTGGCTGAGTTATTGATTATGTTTTGGCTGAGTTATTGATATGGTGGCTGGGTTATTTATTATGTTGTTGCTGAGTTTTGTTTCTATTGCTGCTGATTTATCTATATATGTGTTTTAGGATCAGATGGCTATTTCTGAAGATCAAGCACGGGATTATCCTCCACGACTTTACGCTGAAGGGGCTTCTAATCTAGAAAATAAAGAGATTAATCACAATTTCCAGATGGGAGATTTCCCTAACGTCAGAGAAGCAATAGGACGGGATGTGTGGGATCACATGAGGCAGGGTCCTCTTGGAATTATTGTGAAGCTAGCTGAACGCAAAAGCGTGTGGTCTGGTAGGACTGTCCACTATCTACTATGTCGACAGCTTCGAGTATACTTGAAGGAGATTTGGAGTCTAGTTGGTGATGAACCTANGAGGTATGTCCGGCCTGGAGTTTTGAAAAGCGTAAATGGTTAGGGCTGTTACTTCTTCAAGCCATGGGACTTTATGCTTTGCATCATAATTCTAGGATACCGTTTGAAAGTGCAAAAAGAGTATTCGACGATGAAGCCATGATGACGTATCCATGGGGGAGGACTGCATATGAAGTTCTTGTTGACTCTATTAAGATGTCGAATTCACAAGGAAGGACATACATCATAAGCGGTCTGAAGGACGTGTTGTTGGTTTGGGCGTAAGAATCTGTCATTTTTTTGGAGAGCGTTTTGGGAGAGTGGTCAATGAGCAAGAAGTTCCACTTTTTCGATGGGGTGGAAAGCGTACACGTTAAAGTTTTGATACTGTCATTACTGAGGAGATTAGAAAACATGGCGAGGTAAGGTGTCAACTGATTTAGTATTTATTTGTTGGCTGGGTTATAAGTACTTATGTACTTAAGTGGCTGGGATTTTTGGTATTAGTTATTTGATGACTGAGTTAGCATGTATAAAGTGTCTGAGTTATTAGTATTTTATGGTTGAGTTATTAGTTGTTTTATAAACACCAAAAACTAGCCACCATATAAATAATATCTCAGCCTCTTGGTATTAGTTTTGATGGCTGAGTTAGTATGTACATAGTGGCTGGGTTTCTTGATATTAGTTATTTGATGGCTGAGATAGTGTTTATATGGTGGCATGGTGGCTGGGTTTTTGGTATTTTGTGGCTGAGTTATTAGTACTTTGAAAACTGAGTTATTATGTATTCGGTGGCTGATTTTGTAGGTGCGCATGAGAAAAATGGTTATGAAGGACTCCGTAGAAGAGATGTTTCCTCAGTGGCTGGATGAAGCAGCTGACCCGCAACTCGTTAACTTGATAACAGACATATATGCAGGTCGGTTTGTTAGAGGTTTTTGGGGAACACAGATGAAACACAAACAAACAAACACAAAGGTTTTTGGTGTTTCGTCAAAGGCTGAGCCACCCATTAAGAAGCAGAAGAAAGTGAGCAGCTTCCAAGAGGATGAAGCTGCTGTGGAGGGAAAGGATGCTTACGAGAAGGAAGGTAATGATGATATTGGAGAAAATCCGATATTGATGAAAATAATGTTTAGTCTGGATAGAATTGTCTCAAAAATAGACAGCCACAAGAAAAACTTCGAAAACTTCGACGCGCGGTTATCCAGAATCGAGTCCAGTTATACGAACATTCCCGATTTAGTCAGAGTTGCAGTGGACGAGTACTTCTCTAAAGTTCCCCAACAATCTTTAACGTTGCCACCACCACCGCCGCCACCGCCGAACTTTTTTCCGCAGCAGTCAGTCAATAGTCCACCTGCTAAGGCCTCTGTCCATAGTACACCTGCTAAGAATTTTGGAGACACTGTTGATTTCGCTGGTGTTTCTCCTGCAAAGGACCCAGCCTTAGGAAGCGGGCACAAGATAATAAGGTTTAAACAAAAAGGAAATGAGGTTAAAGAGAAGGACAAAGAGGCGGCTGAGTTAGGAAAGAAGGATGTGTCTCCTAAGAATAACTTAACGGCTGTAAGTAGGGAAGAAGAGGCTGCGTTAAAGAAGAAGGAGGCGGCTAAAAAAAGGAGAAAAAAGCGGCTGAGACAAAGCAACGGAAGGCTGACGAAAAGAAGGCGGCTGAGTTGAAAAAGAAAGAAATGGCTGAGTTACAGAATCCGGTCGCGAAAAGGACGCGTTGCGGTTTAATAATAGTAGCTGTACCTCAGCCGAACAAGATTCAAGCCGACAGTGAGCTTGCGGATATTACTGGCGAATTTCTCGCAACACGAGACGAAGTGCTTCCGGAGTCTGATGAGGATGAAGAGGATAGGATCAGATCCGAAAGAATAAAAGAATATCGGGAGAAAAATGTTCAGCTATCTGCAACTGGGTTTGCATTGCAACTCTCTGATAATGCTCCTCCAGCACCAGTTTTTCCTCAGATTGGAGACAATGTAACGACGTGCATGAGGAATAAGTTATTACCTTCACCAGCAATATATGATCCTTTAGCACCGGTTGATCCAGCAAAATGGGATAAACTTATGGAACACCTAGAGAAACATAAAGACGCTCCCACTACCCCAACAGCGGCCCATGAGGGTGAGTTCTACAGATCATCATCACTGAAAGACCATTGAAAGACAAACAATATTGATGGTTGTATGATGATGTAAGTATTCCTTGCGGCTGAGTTATAAATTTTATGTGACTGAGTTACGTTTTTTTAAGGCTGAGTTAAAGAAGACTAAGTAGCTTAGTTTATTATTCTTTACGGCTGGGTTAAGTATACGAGTTGGCTGAGTTTAGTATACTATGTGGCTGAGTTATGTGTTTTGTTACGGCTGAGTTATCGATTCTATTATATTGACTTGATTTTGTGTTTTTGCGTAGCATGTTAGTGCGTTTCTGCGAATCCTCAACAAAAGGTCCATGCGAGATCCCAGCCCATTCTAGACCAAGCGCATTGCATTTATTGACGTCTGGTTTCTCAGTCATTGGATTCGCGATTACCAGCAGTACAAGCTCAATCCTAAGATGATGAAATTCACCGGTAATGGCTATGCAGAGTTAATAAACGGTAGGATACCCGCAGACTGTTGTACAAACTTGAAGTGGT